GCTTTAAATAAAGTAGAGATGCCAAAATTCCATAGAAAAAAAAAAAAAAAAAAAAAAAAAAAAAAAAAAAAAAAAAAAAAAAAAAAAAAAAGTCATTCTAGGGGATAAACAGACTAGTTTAAACAAGATTTGACTCCAGCCTCCGGACTTATTTGTCCAAACTGTCCCCAAACTCTCATAGGGCAGCGCAGGTAAAGGTGGCACCATTTGGTGCCCAAGTCACAGTGGCTCTGCTTCTATTGGCAGCAGCCCTCTCTCTTGGCATCTCCTGTCCTTCCCTGGACTTCCTATGACAGTTTCTCCTGGGGATGCTATCTGTGTGTTTCTGTCTTCACAGAACACATGCAGATGTACCAGGAGTCCCCATGCCTCATGCACCCCCAGGACTGCAGCGGGACCTACTGTTAGCCTTCGCCTTCCGAGAGCCCAGCCCACCTCTCTGTCCATGAGATGCTTCCTCCAAGCCCAACCGCCTGCACTGGGTTTTGAGGTCACAGCTTCAGTGAGCGCTAACGCACATCCACACACACAGCACTCAGGCTCCTGGCTTACAGCGCTTGTGTTTGCTTCTCTCCTCTTTCACAACTCAGGTGTGGATGAAAATCTCTAGCTCCTAGAGATGGGCGAACAGGGTGGACATCCTAATGTGTGTGGAGGGAGGGAGGTGGAGGACATGCCTGGGGACACTGGACAAAATCCCAGTGCTGGACAGTGTCCCCCAGGACTGTTGCCTCTTGGGAAACGTTCCCATCTCTCCAGACCACCAGCACTATGCTCCAGACCACTTGAAGCCACATGATAGCCATGGTGGTCCAGAGATCCTGGTTTGAACCTTCTCTTCAAGTCAAAAATGCAGGCTTGGAAGGGAGACATGGGCTGGGAATGACCACAGCCCTCCCAGCACCCTTCCAGCCCTGGGAATCCATATTGGTCAGGAAAAGCTTCATGGAAAATTGGAGATAAATTGTGGAGGATAGTAGGACTGTTTTTAAGTTCTTAATTGCAAAGTTAATTTTCAACAAAATATATATAGATGTTTTTGACAGGAGAAAGTAAAAAGCTCCTCCACCACCTCCACAGCACAGCCCACTCCCATTCCTGCTGTTCCTTCTGGGCCTGGTCCACATGCCCATCAGGCACGTGGCACCGCTTGCCAACTAAGGCAGACTGCAGTGGGGGTGGGGGGTTCCTCTCTGGACCTGTGATGCTCTAAGCTTCCAAGGAGTCAGAGGAGAGAATTTCCATCCTCTGAGATCACAGAAAGATTTTGTACTGGGGTGGTGGGGAGTGAACTCTGCTCTTTCAAAAGGTTGGAGGTGGGAGTGACGGGCAGGTGGTCACAGTATAAAGAGAAGTTAGGTCAAAATCGGCGCCCCCCGCCCAGCCTCCAACACTGGCCTCTTCCCCTCCTCTAACCCCTCCCACCCAGCCCCATCCACAATCTGGTCCACTGAGACGTGCCTGAGCCCACAGGCTGCTCCAACGCAGCCAGTGGTGACCTTGGACACCGACCTGACCTCCGGGGCCTCAGTTTCCTCATTTCTATTGTGAGCCTGTCCAGGGCGAGGCTCAATTGCGACTGAGCTTGTGGCGCTCCTAGCGCAGAACCCCACCCGAAGGAAAGCTCTCTCCGAGGTGGCTATGAGCATAACCCGCTTGGGGAGGGGGCCCGAGCACGGGAGGGTTGGGATGGGGGTTACCCAGGAGCCCCGCCGCGCGGCTCTCGAGTGACCGCCCCCTGCGCCGTGACAGCAGCGAGATAAGGTCCCAGGCTCTGCTCTCGCTCCCCGCCGTATCCCCCGCGGCGCCCCCAGTCCAGCGCCCGGCACTGAACGGGTGCGGGGCTGGGCCAGGGCCGGCCCGGGGAAGCGAGTGGGGCGGGGCCGCCGCGCCCGCTCCCCCTCCCCGCCGCCAGCCGCCTTCTCCTCCTCCCGCCGCCTGGGCTCAGAGCGGCGGCAGCAGCGGCCGCGGCGACAGCTTCAGCTCCGGCTCCGGCTTCGGCTCCCGCGCCTGCCCTGCTCGGCCCCGCGCGCCCGGGCTCCGTGCCCCGACCCCGCCGCCGCGCCTGCCGGGGGCCTCGGGCGCCCCCGCCGCCCGCCTCACGCTGAAGTTCCTGGCCGTGCTGCTGGCCGCGGGCATGCTGGCGTTCCTCGGTGCCGTCATCTGCATCATCGCCAGCGTGCCCCTGGCGGCCAGCCCGGCGAGGGCGCTGCCCGGCAGCGCCGACAACGCCTCGGTAGCCTCGGGCGCTGCCGCGTCCCCGGGTCCGCAGCGCAGCCTGAGCGCGCTGCACGGCGCAGGTGGCTCGGCTGGGCCCCCCGCGCTGCCGGGGGCACCCGCGGCCAGCGCGCACCCGCTGCCGCCCGGGCCCCTGTTCAGCCGCTTCCTGTGCACGCCGCTGGCGGCCGCCTGCCCGTCGGGGGCCCAGCAGGGGGACGCGGCGGGTGCAGCGCCGGGAGAGCGTGAGGAGCTGCTGCTGCTGCAGAGCACGGCCGAGCAGCTGCGCCAGACGGCGCTGCAGCAGGAGGCGCGCATCCGCGCCGACCAGGACACCATCCGCGAGCTCACCGGCAAGCTGGGCCGCTGCGAGAGCGGCCTGCCGCGCGGCCTCCAGGGCGCCGGGCCCCGCCGCGACACCATGGCCGACGGGTCCTGGGACTCACCCGCGCTCATCCTGGAGCTGGAGGACGCCGTGCGCGCCCTGCGGGATCGCATCGACCGCCTGGAGGTGAGTGCCGCGCGCCGTCGGGGGAGCCGCCGGGGTGGTGGGAGGGACCGCCCGGCTGCCGCCGCCTCGCGGTCCCCTAGCCTCAGGTCTCCGGGGACGATCGCGCCCTCCTAGCTGTCGTGATGGGGGGATTCTGATAGGGAACGCGGGCAGGCGTCTAGCACGGTGGCTGAGGCACAGGGGGCGCGCCAGAAAGGTTCGCTCCTCACCCTTTTTCCTCTCCAGGCACCTCTCTGAGCCTCAGTTTCTGCGTCTGTAAAATAGGTATAACCGTGTCCACTTGTAGTGGAAATTGAATGACATATAGGTGTGTGAAAATGCTTGGCACATACTAGGACCTCATTAGATGTCCATTTCTTTCCTTCTTCCAGACACCCCCAAATCAGCACCAGCTCCACCCTCACACTCTATGGCTAGGAGATGGATTCGCTGTACCAGGGACTCAGGGTCCTCCCCTCATTACACAGAGCCAGGAACAGAGCGCTCCGTAAGACAAACCTGGGTGCCCATCACCGCCTCCCTACCCTGAATCTCCCACCCTGGCTCAGGCTGTGACCCAACTGCAGGAGCTCAGGTGCCAGGCACCCAGCCTCACACACCAGAAAGCCCACAGCTCTTGGGTGGGAACTGAATGGAGAACAGGGCCCCACCGAGCTTCCCTTCCTGCACTCACCTTTTCCAGGCGTTCCTGGACCAGGCTTGGGGTCAGACAAAAGGGGTCCAGCATGAGAGAGCCAGCTCTTTGCTGTCACGTGACCCTGGGCCAGTCATTTCCCCCCTGGAGTCCCATGGCCACCTTCCTCCCTGTAAGAATGAATTTGGGGTTCGTAGAAGTGCAAGGCAGGCAGACTGGGCAGGACAAACATCCGGGACACATTCACCACCCCAGCCGTGACTGACTTCCAGACCACAAGGAAGTGGGGTAAGCAACAAAATCAGATCTGTGGAAGGAAGAGGGAGAAAGAGGCCAAGGCACACTCTGTCCCTCTGCTGCCTCCCCCCAGGCAGAGTGCAGCAGGCAAGTTGGAGGGAGGAGAGAAGCCGGGAGTAAACACAGGGACCCCTTGAACAGGGGCTGTTTAACGTAAATCCTGGGCAAGCAGTACTGGTGATGCCCATGCGGAAGGCTGAGGATGTCGTGGTCCGGCAGCCCTCCAGGACGTCTGTACTGGTGTCAGTGCCCTCCCCACAGGGTGTCAGAGTGCAGCCAGGTGGCCATGGTAGCCAACCCCTCACCTTATAGATGAGAAAACTCAGCCCAGAAATCTCCTAGGAGGGGTGGCAGAGGCAGGAGAAAAGCTGGGCCCGTCCCACCTCTTCCCCTACTCCAGCTACGGGGGATTTCTAGGATGAGAAAACCAAGACCAGGAAAATAATAAGGAAAAACCTGAAAGTATGCAATGAAGGGAAGTCTTAGTTTTCTCACCTGTAAAATGGGGATAATAATAGCAGCTACCTCATTGGGATGTTAGGAGGATTAAGTAGTTTATATGAAAGGCCAAGAATAGTGCCTGGCACACAGGTATGTTCAATCAATTTCAGTGATTGCTATTTTTATAATTAAGCTATAATATTACTCTTTTAAAATACAGCCGGCCGGGTGCGGTGGCTCACACCTGTAATCCCAGCACTTTGGGAGGCCGAGGCGGGTGGATCACGAGGTCAAGAGATCAAGACCATCCTGGTCAACATGGTGAAACCCTGTCTCTACTAAAAATACAAAAAATCAGCTGGGCATGGTGGCGAGTGCCTGTAATCCCAGCTACTCAGGAGGCTGAGGCAGGAAAATTGCCTGAACCTGGGAGGCGGAGGTTGCGGTGAGCCGAGATCGCGCCATTACACTCTAGCCTGGGTAACATGAGTGAAACTCCGTCTCAAAAAAAACAAAAAATACAGCCAAGGGCTGGGCACAGTGGCTCATGCCTGTAATTCCAGCACTTCAGGAGGCAGAGGCGGGTGGATCACCTGAAGTCAAGAGTTCAAGACCAGCCTGGCCAACATGGTAAAACCCCATCTCTAATAAATAATATATATATAAAAATTAGCCAGGCATGGGGGCGGGTGCTTGTAATCCGAGCTACTCAGGAGGCTGAGGCAGGAGAATTGCTTGAACCAAGGAAGCAGAGGTTGCAGTGACCTAAGATCATGCCATTGCACCCTAGCCTGGGTAACAGAGCAAGACTCCCTCTCAAAAATAAAATACAGCCAAAACTCGAAATAGGAACAAACAGGTTTTAGGCAACAGGTTTTAGTCATGTAAAAAAGAATTTTTGACTTTCATTAAATACAATTCCTCATGGCCGGGCGCGGTGGCTCAAGCCTGTAATCCCAGCACTGTGGGAGGCCGAGGCGGGTGGATCACGAGGTCAAGAGATCAAGACCATCCTGGTCAACATGGTGAAACCCCGTCTCTACTAAAAAAAATACAAAAAATTAGCTGGGCATGGTGGCGCGTGCCTGTAGTCCCAGCGACTCAGGAGGCTGGGGCAGGAGAATTGCCTGAACCCGGGAGGCGGAGGTTGCGGTGAGCCAAGATCGCGCCATTGCACTCCAGCCTGGGTAACAAGAGGGAAATCGTCTCAAAAAAAAAAAAAAAAAAAATACAATTCCTCATGCCTGCCATAGCCCCTGCCACCCATAGCCCCCGCTGCCCTGCCCAGATGGCACAGGTGGCTCCTCCCACGTTTGGGGCTGGCAGGCTTGGACCTGCCCTGGACCTGTGCCTTCAGCACCTGCAGCACTTTGGCAGGGTGGCCTCCCTTCCGGTTGGCCCACTGAGGTTGGGGGGATCCTGGCAGCTGGGATCTGGCAACAGGTCAGCCTTCCAGGCTGGGGGAGCCCTGGCTGCTCCATGTACACCTTCTCCTCTTTTCTGAGTGCAGCCGCCATGGACAGAGAAAGGCAGGGGACTGCTTGGCCACCAGGTCTGCCCTCTGAGCATGGCAACAGCCACCGCTAGTCTTTGTGGGGGCGGAGGTTTCTGGGAGGGGCTGGAGCTGGAGCCCAGAAGACACAGGGTGAGACCATTTCTTTTTCTGAGATGGAGTCTTGCACTGTTGACCTCGGCTCACTGCAACCTCTGCCTCCCAGGTTCAAGCGATTCTCCTGCCTCAGCCTCCCAAGTAGCTGGGATTACAAATGCCCACCACCATGCCCAGCTAATTTTTTGTATTTTTAGTAGAGACAGAGTTTCACTATGTTGGCCAGGCTGGTCTTGAGCTCTTGACCTCGTGATCCACCTGCCTCAGCCTCCCAAAGTGTTGAGATTACAGACGTGAGCCACCGTCTCCCAGGATACATTGAATGCTCTTGCTAATGTCCCCAAGTTGATAAATGAGGACTTCTCAGTCCTTATCTTGGTGGAACCCTCTCTGACATCTGAGCCTGCTGATCATCCTCTCCTGCAAGTCCCAGGCCCTGGGCTTCCAGCCACCTCTCTCAGCAATCCTCCTCCCTGTCTGCTGCCTCTGAGTCTTTGCAGGGTCCTCCTCCTTTAAGTGGTGTGCCCCTCTTGGCCCTCACCTTTCCTGGGTGCGCTCAGCCATGCCCGGAGGCTTCCCACACCTATTCCAGGGAGGGAGGGGCCTCAAACCAAAGCTCAGTGTTCAGCCTAGGTTTTATCCCAAGCTCCAGACCCATGGACACAGGGGCCTCCTGAGCATCACCCTCTGGCTGTCCCATCGGCCCCCAACCCCACTGTGTTTCAGCTTGAACCGGGTACCTCCACGTGCTGAGAAACCATCCTGGGCCCCTCCCTCTTCCCCCAGTTCTGATTGGCCTCATCTCTGTGCATGCTTGCAGCAGCCTCATCTCTGGTCTCATGACCCCAGGCACACCTCTCCCTCCACCCTCCTCCAGGCAGCCCCAGGGGTCTTCCTTAAGCCCACCATGGGGCTCTCCTGGGGTGCAAACTCCTCAGCCTGCTCCTAAGTTACCTCTTTGGATCTGGCCGCTCTCTCCTGACCCCTCTCTCAGTTCATTCCTGCTTCTGTCTGGATCATCCCCAGCACATCCCTGCTCCTCATCTTAGAGTCTGCTCTGAGGACACCTCCTCCCAGAAGCCATCGCTGTTCACATTCTATCCCCTTCCTATCCCCACCTGGGCTTCCATAATCATCACACTTCCTTGCTGGTCCCCACCCGGCACATCCCTGCATTACCAACCCTCCTACAAAAGGGAAGGGAAGGTCTGCTCGGCTTGTTCTCTCCCCAAAGCCTTAAGTGGGAGCCACATTTGAGGGCTTAGGGGAAAGCCCTTCTGTTTTTATTTGTGTTGTTATTGTTGCTCATTGAAACCCGTCATAGGTTATGGGGGAAATACTGCATTTGACTGCGTCATTTTCTCCCTTTCTGCAGCCCCCTTCCCGTCCTTATCCATATGCAGCCATTGTTTGAGAGCTGCTATGTAATTACCATTTTAATGATGCTGTAATATGCTGGGACTCATCTACAGCTCCAAATCCATCAGTCACTTGACCGGCTCCTGTTACTGGAGATGTAGATTGTTTCCAATTATTTTTCTTCCAGATGTTCATTGCAGGATCTATTGCATGCAGAGAGCTGTTTGTTTGTTTGTTTTTAAGTCTGTTAATTTCTTTAAGCTGAATTCCCAGGAGTGGTATTACTGGGTCAGAGGATATTGACTTTTTTTTTTTTTTTTTTTTTTTGAGACAGTCTAGCTGTTGCCTAGGCTGGAGTGCCATGGTGCAAACTCGGCTCATTGCAACCTCCACCTCCCAGGTGCAAGGGATTCTCCTGCCTGAACCTCCTGGGTAGCTGGGACTACAGGTATGTGCCACCACACCCAGCTAATTTTTGTATTTTTAGTAGAGACGGGGTTTCATGTTGGTCAGACTTGTCTCAAACTCCTGACCTCAGGTGATCCGCCCGCCTCAGCCTCCCAAAGTGCTGGGATTACAAGCGTGAGCCACTGCACCTGGCAAATATTGACTCTTTATGGCTGAGGCCAGGAACCACTTTCCAAGAGCTGGCCCACTAAT